CAAGTCTGCATACAGTATGCAGTTCACTATTTGATGCAAGATTAAAAACAACCATAAAAAATTTGCTAAAGGCTATCTTTTACAGTCTCAATGTATTTTATTGTAAAATTTCAAAATGGAAAATTCTTCTCAAATAAATTGCCCTTCATGATGGGAATAATAAAGTCTGTATCTATAGATGTCATTCCATAATTCAATCTAAATGAACGTATCAAACTGGATTATTTTAATATTGTCTGTATCTTAAATGCAGGCTCAGGTAAACTATTCACTGTTTCCAACTGTCCAGCAACCAGTACATACAGTAGGTTGTTGTTGTTTTTATTTTATTTCATAATGATCATTATGTGAGAAAATAATTGTTATTAATGTGTTTGAATTTCTGTCATTAATAAATATTTCATTTTCTTTTTTGTAATGGTAAAAAGAGCAAGAGAGAAATCCCCACAGACTCCCTGCAATGACGCTGACTGGCCTGTCATTGAACACAATGTTGCTCACCTTCTTCACTGGGACAGGGAGGGGTACAGTGATGGGGAGACTGGGGTGCTGCTGACTCATCTGTTGTTAAGTCTGCTAAAAGGGGCAGGGACAATGATTTAATGTGAATATCTTGCTAAACGTTTCCCTGAACTGATTATATGGTGATTAAATGTAGGCTAACACTAGTCTGTAGCTGACTATCTTATTTCACTATGGACATTAAGCCAACAGGTTAATACCACTCACAGACTATAGGCTCCTTTCTTGGTGAAACACTGGGTTACAGATTGACATCCTTTCCTTTGTCTTTCCTCTCTCTCTTTTCTCTCTTTCCTTTTTTGAAAACCAGATTTTGATTTACTAGGCAACATTGTGATCACTGTAGTTCTGGCACATCTACTGACTGCAACTAAACACGTCACTGATAAGTGCGCTAAAGCAGGACCAAACCATTTCATGCAGATACAGGAGGGTGGTCGGTCAATATGGATGTTTACTTTTTGGTCAATGGGGATATTGCCAAAAACAAGTAAAAACAAAGAGATGATTAATTCTATTATTATATTTGAAATATATATACTGAATGATGATGGTTTATATTTATTTTATATTAGTTTTTACCGCTGTCAGTCATGGGCCCTTGGAATTGTCCTAACTTTCCCCCCCTATACGGTGCCCCTGGTAGTGACTGTTAAATGAGGCACTGACGTAGCCCATAGGGAAAGAATTGATAAAAATTTCAGCAACAAAGAGAGAGTATGCTTTTATTTATTATTATTATTATTATTATTATTATTATTATTATTATTATTATTATTATTATTATTATTATTATTTAAGACCGAGGTCATATGACAAAAACTAGATTAAAAATTATTAAAGGTCCATTGTGTAACATTTATGACAATCTACTGGCAGAAATTGTATATAACATTAATTGATGTTTTTGTTCATGTATATTCACCTGATAATAAGAATAAGAATTTTTGTTACCTTAGAATTAGCCATTTTGTATCTACAGATGCTGTGGGTTGCCTTCCACGGAAGCCACCATGTTGAACTGCAATCTTTCTACAGCAGCCCAGAACACACAAATCAAACACTGGCTCAATATTTCATGGTCACTGTAGTTTCTCTCTTGTGCTTGCAAGGGGAGGGTCAAAGGCTGTCACCTTTTATTCAAATAAAAGGTGCCTTTAAACACACACACACACACACACACACACACACACACACACACACACACACACACGCACACACATATACGATAGATTGATATCTCACAATGAAAGAGGTGAAGAGGTAAACAACAGTGTGGCTTGTATGTGATTCTTATTTTTAAAACTGGAATATTTGGTATTGTTATGAATTATGTTAATTACTTAGGCTATTGGCTTATTTATTTAGTGTATCACTCCTTAAATTGATCACTGCAGCAAACAAAAATGTAACAAGAGGACACTTTGCTGGCTCTCTAGCTTTGCATTTTGTTATTATTTTATGAGTAAACACTTTATTTGAAGCATGCATGAGACTGACATGACACTGTTATGACAACAAGCCAGTCTGACAGTGTTTACAGTACCGATGTGGTTTTTCCTGCCGGGTTTTGCTCCTGGCATCCCGGGCCTGAGTCAGCTAAGTGTCACAACATTGTCTGGATGTATCTTCTAACAATGACATAAGTTCCCCACATTGTTAATGTGATGTGTGGCAGCCCAGGCCTGTGTCTGTAAGAGAGAGGGGGTGTGTGCATTACTGTCAGTGTAGAGAGAAAGGCACAAACAGTTATTTGACCCACAGGGAGATTTCTATTAATACTGTTGACAGTAGTGCCAATGACTGGTGATGAAATGTAATTCTCCTTCCAGTTTAATCTGAGTCATAAGAAGTGCCCTGTTCCTGGGACTGTCTTTCAGCACTACACAAACAACTAACCGTGCAAGGCAGCTGGACTTGTCCTTTTGCCCAGCTTCAATCTGTGCCCTTGTGTCCAGCCACAGTGGTACCGGACCAATCAGCGTCCGATAAGGAATACCTAGAAGCTACGGCATGAGCTGGGCATGGTTTACCGCTAGATGTGTGTGACGACGTGTGTGACGACGTGTGGGAGAACTGACTCTTTTTTCAAAAGAACAATGGTGGCTGCATGGAACAGCCTGTCGGCTCATCTGTTGTGACTAATAGCAGTCAGCATGAAATATCACTAAAACTGGGTGCTATCCAGGTGGACACTCATAGTTGTGTCTTTGCTTTATCTATTTTATTATTTTGTGCACCCAGCTTTTATTTATGTGTCTGGCTTGCAGTCTATGCTGCAAAATAGTAATATCAAGTAGTACCTTCATATAGTTTTGGTCCGTTTGTTTGTGAGAGAGAGAGAGAGACAGACAGTGAATAACATGGGGGATGAATGGGTATAGGAAGCAGAAGCAGAGGAAAAATAAAGTGTTACTTTCTGATTGTTTCACAGTGGTTGTAACCCACACACACTGCCGCACCACCCTTTGCTAATCACACCTGATTTGGTGTGAAGAGAGTGTATTACCATGACGGTGAGGCTAGAGGGCGGCTGTTGCTCAGTGGTGGAGTGGGTTGTCCACTAATCGGAATGTTGTTGGTTCGATCCCTGGCTCCTCCTGCTGCATGTTGAAGTATCCTTGAGCAAGCTACTGAACCCCAAATTGCTCCAGATGCTATATCGTCAGTGTGTGAATGTGAATGAATGAGCTGTCATCTTCTGTTCGATCGACTTTACCATCACTGTGTGAATGGACATGTGGCATGTAGTGTTAAAGTGCCTTGAATGATCGGAAGACTAGAAAGGTGCTATACAAGTACAGGTCCATTTTCCATTTACCTTTCTCACTTTTTCTTCAGTATGTTATTACCCTCTTTACTAGTTCAGGAACTATGTTAACTTAACAGCAGGCGAAACATCCAAAGATTACTGATACAAAACTTTGTGGCCAGGCCTTTACCAACCTCTACAGAAAACATTAGGAAAACCATCCATTAACCATCCATAACCATTTAAGCCTTTAAAGGCTTGCATGGTTAGGTTCCTGTCTACTTATGCAATCTGCTAACTACATGAGAGCGACTTACAGCTTGAGATCCTCTGGCAGTGCCCTACTAATGTCCCCAGAATCTTGACTTGTCACTATAGCTAGAACTCCTAAGATCTCAGGAAAGGAAACTATCTTCTTCCATTTTTTTTTTATTAAAATGTATTTTTATCTTGTGGCTCTTGCTTAACTGCTCTTATTTGTTGTAAATGTTTCAAGTTGTATTTACTAATTATCTTTACATTTTTTAATTTTTATTTCTTTTTTCTTCCTAGCTACATTTTCAATAGTGTATAAATACATTCTCTCTGTGACCCTTTGTGAAGTTCAGTGGTGTAGCAGTGCATATGGACAGGTATATAGGGGATTTACACTTACCTAAATAGATGAAGCCTGATATGACATTGTCAGTGTAAAGAACAGGTGTACTGTGGTCATGCTAGCAGTGGGACTTAATGGGAATGCCAGTCAACTGCTCAGTAAGTTGTTTTTTTGACATGTGTTTCAAACTGTAATATCCTTGTTTGATGGTTTTACATGAATTAAGGTTCAATGTTGATAGCTTTGGATATATTGTTTGACTTTTTGAAACTTACTTTCATCATACTTACTTTGATTTATGAACAAATTGTTGCAAAAATAAGACATTCACATCAGCCTCAGCTGTACTTTGTGTTCACTGCTAAATATCAGTTTGTCACTATAAGCATGTTGCCATGCTGATGGAAGCATTTTGATTTAGCATTTGGCTCAAAGCAGTTCTGTTCCTAAGTACAGCTTCAACAAGCTGCTAGCATGGAGGCTGTTGCAATAATAAAGGGGTGATGAAATAAAAGTATGTAAGGATGTTTATATTACTCAGCATCCTATAATAATAATGAAGCTAAATATTGTAAGCCCTCAAAGTAGCCAACTTAAAACCCTAACCCTAACCCTAATGGAAATAGCCTACTTGTGGGATCTATTTCGCATAATTTACACTTATTCTGACTATTTATGTAGCACTGCAGGGCAGCAAGTGAGGTGGGGGCTGCAACATTAGACCCCTGGACTCCATTCAAAGACAAATGACCACCACAAATGCTTTCCCTTCACTCTCTCCTGTGACCTCTCTCTACCAACCCTCTCTCTCTGTCACACGCACACACACACACACACACACACACACACACACACACACACACACACACCGACTTCAGCTTGATGTATTTCACGGCAGGTTGTCAGTAGGAAACAGGGGAGCCTTTGAGTCACCGTATACCACACTCCCCCTACACGCACACACAGAGGGCCTATATGTTCACACCACCTACCACCCTGCACACCCACAAACACACTGGAGAGCTGTTTGACATTTGGGCTTCCAACCAATGGGCAGGCAACAGGCACAAGGGCATTTTTACTGCTATGCCAGGTGCTTATAAGTGGTGCTGGCAGACTTGCTCTCCCTCCAGTTATACACACCAGCCTGGGGTTCCCTCACACTTGCTCCCAGTGACAAGAGAAGACAAGGGACACAGGGAGGAAATCTCTTTTTGTATTACCTGTCTATTTATTTAATCCTAAACCAGCTGAATCAGATACACGCAGAGATAACCAGACAGACAAACAGGGTATACACATACCTGCAAAGAAAAACAGCAAACAGTCATAATGTTTGGTTATGGTCGTAATAATTTTACCTGGAATGGAACTCTGAAAGAGCTTGAGAGCAGCTACCCAGCCATCTGCAAAGGTAGGCACAGTCTGAGAGTGTGTTTTTGTCTAGTGAGACAATCATCTTCTTACCTGAAATAAGTAGCCAAACTGAAAAACAGTTATGCAAAGTGACTTTTGCATAAGAGGCTGCATGCACACGACAGCTTATGTGTCCAGGGCAGTCAAACTGCACTGCTATCTCTGCTATGTGGCCCTGCTATGTCCTGAATGTGAGTGTGCATTCTGTGTCTTGGCTCTCCAGAGTAATGGGATGTCAGATCAGAGGCATAGCAGAGAGGAGCAAAGTACATCCAATAGTCCAATGGAACATAAGTGATTTGATCATGCTAAAAGAAAATCAGGGGAACCGTAAATCAAATTCAACAAAGCAAAAGACTGATACTCTCTACTTGGGCTGCCCCGCTGCCCCCAATGGTTGTTCTGACACATAACAATGTGATCTTAACTGCTTTTTTCGTTATCGTTTAACAGGCGGCTGTTCAAATCTATATATTTAAAGAAATTAATAAATATCATAAACATACTTCAACTAGTCGACTATTGGCTTTATTTAATGACTACTGGTTGACATTAGTTCGGGGTAGCCCTATTCTATACATTAAACTGATGGTGCAGAAGTTAAAGTTTAAGTTTAAAGTTTGGGCTGTCAATAAGTCTTAACCTGTGTCATAGTATATAGTATAGTAGTATATAGTTATATAGTGCTAGAAAAAATGACATCCATGGCATACAGTACACTACTTTCTGCTTACAACCTCATTTCCTGCACTTATGCTATGCGCTACAGTGCAAAAAAGCTTACCTAAAATACAAGAATTAAACACTGAATTTGAGGTAGTAACATGGCTGAGTATGCACTGGGGTTATAACAAATTTGTATGAAAGGAAAAGGCAGGGAAACTATGTCTATGGCACCCTCCCTCCACTGGGGGAGTAAGAAATAGTACAGCTAGTTGGACTGATGGATGAATTAATGGTAGGTGTGCCTGACCAGTCGGAGACGAGGGCGGTACCTGGAACAGGGCACGTGAATTATCATCCCCTGAATTATCATCAAACCAGAAAGAGTATCTGGACAGCTCCATAATGGAACAGGAAGTTAGGGCAGCTATCTAATCAATAAAATCAGAAAAGTCACCTGGGTTAGATAGCTTTCCAGCAGACTATTACAAGCCAGATCCTGAGATACTGGCTCCGTCACTAACAAAATTATCAAATAGCACTATTATTAGGGCAGCTACCAGCAACATTTAAGAATGCACTGATTTAATTGATTCTTAAGAAAGACAAGGACCTGACTGACCCAGGACATTTTAGACCTGTTAGCCTGAATGATATTACCTGTAAAATACTGACCAAGCTCCTTGCTCTGAGTCTGGAGAGGGTTTTATCACATGTAATTTATACAAATTAGGTCGACTTTGTCAGAGAGAGCCAGAGATACTTTTCACAACCAGACACACTTATACAGTAAATAGGGTTAGGGTTAGGGTTAGGTTACAGTAAATACAGTAGATGCGTAAATAAATAATAGGTCATAGAAATGACTAATGACTATACTAGTACCAAGGATCAATGATCTGGGTGGTTTTTATCACGCGCTGCAGAGTCCTCCTTTTATGCACATCTCATACCAGTTTGTTTGGTGTTACCAGTCAGGTTACCTTTTATTGCTCTTTTGTAAAAGCTAACAAGACCTTGGCACATCAGTGGAGCCAGGCTGAAATCTCATCAATTATTGAAGGGATTGCCATGAAATGTGGTACATTTGGTTTTTAATTATCCTATAAAATAACTTTCAGTCTAGTCTAGATGGATTGGGACAAAATTCTGACAATTTCTTTTACAAATTATGCAACTTCAAGTTAGAAACAAGATGAGACAAGCCAGTCTTAATACAAACATGCATGACACATTTAGTTATATACTCTCACAATTAATATTCAGTGCCTTTGTGATAGTCCTGACAGTCCTGAATGTCGCTGTGTTAGTTTATTGGACCAGTGCTGCATAGTATTAATAGGAGTTATTAAAGTAATACTCTTACACATGCACAGAACAACTGTCCCTGTTGCAACCAGTTCATGTTTACAGGAATAGTAAAAGGGGAAATGTGTGTTACAGTGATTTTTGTTCCTAAAGCATCCTTGGCTGCATTGGAATGTAAAGTGGTTCAACCCTCACCTCAGCAGTTACTACGTTGACACTGCTGTGCATGTGCGTTCCTCACACAGCATGTTACTATAGCAACATCACAGAGTAGCTGCAGAGTGTGAGAGTGGGAAAAAGGGAGTTTGAGGGAAAGAGTGTGCAAGTATTATGATCGTATGTGTGTGTATGGGTTGGTGTGACACAGGTGGGCATCGTAATTCAGCTGATCTGTTACCGTCTGCATGCAAACAGTCACCTTGCTGTCTCACCGACTGTCTGCTTGTGTCCCCAGAAGACACTGAGCATTCATAAAATCTCTCTTTGTATAAATGTACACAAATACACAATAGCAATAATAGTACAAAAAAGACTGACCAGTTAGGCTTGTTGAAGGTCACCTAATGATATATTAACTTCCTGTCAGCCAGTGTGTAATGGTGATATACAATTTTTTCAGCATAATCCAGATGAAAGGAAAAATGCCTCTTTAACCCTTTAACATTACATCATTATACTGCTATTTAACAATACAATTTTAGATTTGTATTAATGTATTTATATTTTTACCATAATACAATATTTTTTTTCTTCCTGAAAAACTAAATTTAATGCAGGCTTACGTAAGCATGGACCAACCAATTTCAACCAATAATATCATGACATCCACCTGTCAATCAATCTTCAACAGCAATACAGAGCGAAGATTCATTAGTTAAATAGCTAGCAACAGGGTAGCTGTTGAGTGAGTGTTTCTGAGGACCAGGCCTCACTGATTACTTTACAAAAACAGAACTTTATCACTTGTAGTCAGTAATCAGTTTGGCAGAGTCAGCTAATAAGACTGTTATAGCTGCTTGACAGGGGATGTAACACATTCAGCACTATTGGCTCCCAATAGTTCCACCCTAGATGCCTGTTTTTTTTTTCTTTTACAGGAAACAGGTATTATTATTATAATCATTATTATTATTATTATTATTATTATTATTATTATTTATGTTGCAGGTTGCTTTAAATACCTGAGGGTAGGTGAATATGACAGTATAAACAGTATGCACTGCATGTGTAAATTGATTGATTGATTGATTGATTGATTGATTGATTGATTGATGATTGGATAGATAAATACTTTATTAATCCTGAGGGAAGTTCAAGATTGATGATATTTACATTTTTTTAAAACAATGAGAATAATTTACAGGTACAGTGGATGTTTGAGTCACAGGGTTATTGCACAGGGATTGTTTCTGACACTGTGTGTCTGGAGATAACTGTTCATCAGAGTGATGGCCTGTTGGTAGAAACTGTTTCTGTTTCTGTTCATTTGGGCGTACAGTGCTCTGTAGCACCTACTGGAGGGGAGATGTTGAAACGATGATGGTGAAAGTAAATATTAAATGTGTCAAAGAGAAAAGAGTCTTTTATTTAATACATTTTATTGTATTGGAGGTTATTCATAGAGGGAAGAATTGTCTCTCAGAGCCTGTAATGAAGCTAATGAGTAGGATCTCATCCATAATGCTAAAGGTTGAGAGAAAGAGGGCCTCCTATGCTTCAGGTTTCATTTGCAGTGTGATTTATATTAGTAGAAATGGTCCAGGATCACTGTCATGGAACTGTCACAACACCAAGAAAAAACTATTGAACCACTGTCAACCTCTAGAGGCTGCAGTGTTAATTACAGACAACAATATCAGTTGAGAGAAGAAACAACATTCTGACACTGAACTTCCAAAGCCAAAAGGAGTCCTTCTCTGGGTAAGAAGAATGTGCTCAGGAAATGTTATGGGAATCTGCCTGATGATGTTTTAGAGCAGGGGTTCAGGGCCCCCACAAGATCAGTGATAGTGGTTTTGAGATGATTAACAGGATAGGGAAAAAACATTATTGATGCACAAAGTTACATTTATCATTGTCTTATTATTTTTTGATTCTGTACGTATCAGTGCAGAGTGCAGAGTGAGGAAAACACCAGACAGCTTTTAATTACACAAGTCATGTGTAAAATTACTCCCAATGCTATCTATCTATACATTTATCTTAAATAAGAGCAGAACATATGATGAGCCAGTTGCTGTGTATGATGGAAAGCCCAGAGTTGCATTTCACTGTCACAGCCTGTTGTTTGGAGGCATCAGTGAAATAGCTTAACAGCTGAATCAACACAAGGTCTTCCCTCATTAGTGAGGAAATGTAAGTGTGTGTGTGTGGGTGTGTGTGCAGTGTTTGTTGAGACAGGGGACTCCTGTCTGGGACAGAAGTGTGAGTATGATTTCATCCATAGATTAGCATTCTATCCCCGATGGGCATGACAAGGCCTATTTGAGTGGTTCCATAATGTCTCAAAAAGTTTGTGTGTTTGATGCCAAATTTTGATTACCCGTGTGTGTGTGTGTGTGTGTGTGTGTGTGTGTGTAAGAAAGACCCTTAAAGTCAGCACACTGTAAAATTCATGGGCTGAAAGTTAGGATTAAGGATGTGTATAATCAGGATGGTAAATGGTTAATGGACCTGTACAGTGCCTTTCTAGTCTTCCAACCACACAAGTGCTTTTCCACTACATGCCACATTCACCCTTTCACACACATTCACTCAGTGATGGCAAAGCCCATCGAACAGAAACTAACACATTCATACACACACCGATGAACAGCTTTGGGAGCAATTCAGCATTCAGTATCTTTCTCAAGGATACTTTGACATGTGGCACCAGGAGCAGGGGATCGAACCAACACCCTTCCAAGTAGGGGAAGACCCGCTCTGCCTCTGCACCACAGTCGCCCAGGATGTCCTTCAGCTTGACCCTGTGTCTACTACACACACACACACACACACACACACACACACACACACACACACACACACACACACACACACACACACACACACACCCCTTGGCTTTTTTACTGAAACTGATACAAGGTTCATTTTCCAGGGACCATACCAAAAAAACGCTTCTGCTGTGTAATTTCAGCATCAAGAGTAAGAGTGATATATATACACACACACACACACACACACACACACACACACACACACACACACACACACACACACAGCTCTTTCTTGCTCTTTCTGTCAGAGAGGTGTGAAGGGACAAGAAGGGGTGAGGAGTTCAGATGAACTTGATGCCACCACTGGAGTATAGAGCATTTGAGGGGTAGGGATGAGGCCATGAGGGGGTACAAACTATTTTGTCCCTGTCATCACCTCTAATGAGAAGAACCGACCTGATCTACAGATGGAAGCTTGTATACATCAGATAAATAACACAACAACTTCTCCAAATTCAGTGTGTCATTTGTCTGTGCCTTACAAAACTGTTACAAATCACTGTTGAAAATACATATATAAATCTGTGGAAATACATCTGTTTTATGATGTGACATTATGGTTAAGGTTTTGTTTTGTTTGGAGCTGTCACACCACCAAGCAAAAACAGTACTTTGTTGGACAGATCATGGTTTGCGTTTAGTAGTAGTTAGGGACTGTTAGGGGACTTTTATCTTCGTGATTACAACAATAGAGTGCTGCAAGGATAAAAAAAAAAATTTCATAGGCCAATTGTGAAAAATTGTTGATTGTTGAGTCTCAGTCAGTCTTTGCCAACCCATCAGCCTGTATTTGATGGCCTGGGAACATGAACACAACCTTGCTCCGAGCCACTTTGTTTGTTTCCCATTTACCATAATCCAGAGTGTTGGTTTTTGAATGCCTGGGAATGATACATAAACAATCAACTATCTTGCTCCAGAATGACTGACCCCACCTTTAACATGTGAACAATACACAAGTGCTCTTCTGCTAACAAGGATATCCAGATTTGGGTTAGAAGGTTATTTCAAAAGCCAAAACTTGTAAAGTGCATGGACAGATAGACAGGTACAATTTAAAAACAGGTCTTGTTCAATGAGCAAACACATTGGTAAAAAACAATCCCAAAAAATATAATGCAGCTTGTCCAGTTCACTATCATACGGTGGTAATACTCTTTTGCATCAAAAAAGATGTGACAGTTTAAGTGAGAGTTTAACAGTAACTAATGTAAAGGTGAAAGTAATCACATTGTGCATATTGTTGGTTATGTTATTTCAATAAAACATAGTTATCTGCTCTGCTCATTTTGATTCCTCCGAATTTCTCTAATGTTATTCATGGTTGATAATGAAATTGCTACACAAGACAATAGTTTCCAAATTGGGGCACAACAGAAAAAGAGTTGTGAGAACTATTGATGAGTGGCCTTTTTTCACAAAGGTCCACATTTTTAGTTTAGTTTTAGTTTTAGGGAAGTGTTGATTCAACTTCACAATCATTTTGCAGTCTGTGCTGCTGTTGAAATATATTTTCATACAGATAGGTGTTTAAGCTTTGCAAACAAGTTTTTTTTATAATTGTCTAAAGTTAGTTCACTGGCTCCAGAGGTTTCCCCCTGTGCTATGTTCAACACTGCAGAAATCACTGAATTCTTGTTGTTTTTTTTGTGTAAGAGTTAACTGATTGCTATAAAAAGTGGGATAATTTAAGGTTATTTTTTTAATAAGCCATCAAAATCCCTTATTGACTGAAGTCTATGACTGTATATAGATTGAATCCTGCAGCTGCCCAGCTGGCCTTGTCAAGGCCTTTTTATAGTGGCAGCCTTCTCAACATCACAGCACAAATGTTTTCTGGAGCGCTTTATCCTGGAGGGATAGGATTACACATGCACAGGCACGTGCGAGACAAAACAACACACATTAAACCACCCATATGTATGTTCATGTATCTAACAGTATTTTACAACATGACCAAAGCCCGTAGCAAAAGAGTTGCTTGTAAAAAAGGAAGACCATGAACAATGGAGTTTTGTAAATTTAATGTAAGATGGTATACAAAAGACACTCTCAGAAAGACATACATTCAAACACACACTGTCCATACTGAATACACATGCCTTCAGCAGTTCGACACACACACACACACACACACACACACACACACACACACACACACACACACACACACACACCCCCCTCCCTGGGGCTGGTGGGTATTCCCAGTCAAGTCAGGGGGAGTCTCAGTGTTGCTGCGCTCTCTCCTTAGGCAAAGCAATATTGCATGTGCACGTCTGTGTTGGTGTGAGAGAGGAGAGACAGGTGCTTTAAGTTTCGTGTGTGTGTGTGTGTGTGTGTGTGACGCTGTGTGCACGGTGGTGAGGACGCACTTTAAATTTCCTCGGTCTGCCTCTTTCTGATTGACAATCTCCATCTGACCGTCTTTTTTTCTATTTGTCCGTCTGCCTGATGATTTGTCTGTCTGTATGTCTGTTAAACCGTTTGTTTACCTTTCTGTCTGCCTGTTTGTTTGTCTGTCTGTCTGACCAACTGGTTGACTGGCACAGAGCGGCATCGACAAAATATGACAGCCTCCCCACACTCCTCTGGCGGCCTAGAAGTCCTCCTTTCCACTCTGCAGGTAGGGATCCACAGTGCAAGTGTGTTACTTGTATTAAGTATTGTTCATGCTATTTTATATACAGTGTCACAAAACTCACCACATGGCTGTTAAGTTTTTAGGGTTTTCTCTCTTTAGTTAGTAGTAATCGTTTTTTACAGAGTGATACAGTATTGCAGCAGGTTAGATGTGCGTCGTCACAACAATGAGGTGAGCAAGAACCGGCATCTCCTAGGCCGCCTTATTCACTGTGTAAAATTCTGTGGCTTGTTTGAGTTAGCTTTGCGAGGCAAGGATGAAAGCGAGGGGTCCAGCAACCCTGGGATTTTTCGCGGACTTGTCAACTTAGTGGCGTCGCTGGACGAGGTGTTTGAGGAGCACCTGAGAATGGCCACAGCCTTAAAGGGCACAACAAAGACGGTGCAGAATGAACTGCTGGATTGCATGGCATCTGTCACCAGAGAACGTAAATCGGCTAGATTCGTGGCAATCCAAGCAGATGAAACCATATAATTATTATTATTAAATGGTGAGTTGTGTTATGTTGTACTCTCCAAATTGTAAATAGTTGTATTGATTGCATATTGCCAGCCAAATATATACTGAATATGTTCTGGAAACTACAGTTTTAATGATAGTATAATATGTTTTGATTTGATTATCGCTATGGCATCCATGATGGCTATAAACTGTAGACTGTGCTAACAGTGATTTCATGGGCAAACTAGTAGATGACAATGTAGCTGTGTGTTTTACTGTGGAACCAAATTTATTATATTTGAGACATTTAAATTTATATAGCTTTACAAAAATACTGTACAGTATGTATAATTCATGTCATGTTGCCATCTAGTGGTTGAACAGGAAAACCAAATTAAACAATGCAATGTAACACTGTCAAGTTAGCTATCTGACTTTTATTTATTATTATTTGACCCATTGAACGGGTCATCTTAGCCATCGTTGCAACAGTTGCCCCCCCTGAGAAATTTGTCAGGAGCCGCCACTGATTGCACACATTCGGAATAACTGATGTGAGATTGTCATACGATCCAGCATAGGCGTATAATAAGTGATGAGACCATAGACACCAGAATTAGTCATGTATCCCTAGTAGATTTTGGGATCTGTTGCTCCATGCTGACATTTCAGAGAACAGTCTGTTCTCTGACCTCTGGCATTATCAAGAGTATTAAAATATCCTTCTCAAGTAGAAGTAAGAAGTTAAAATACTACTACTCTTAATAACAGTACTTCCGTACAGTTACTGTGAAAGGACTGTGGCATCCTAAATTTAGATTTCATTATGATGATGCCCTACTGACCAATTCATTAATGCTCTTCAACGTGTCCAAGGAGCCCATCTTTTCTTTGTTTAACAAGAAAAGATTTCTCACAGACTTACTCATATTGGGCATGAGGCTGACTCATGAAATCCTTCTGAATCCTTTCTAAAAGTAGTGCAGTGCAAGTTTTGAGATATGTCTCACAGAGATCGATTAATTAAAGCTTACTGCGCCAGATGTTTGTTAAACAGAATCATCGGGGAACTTGTCATTGGAAACTGTTCGGAAAAGGGTAGGCACTTTCAAAAAACTACTTGGCTTGGGATTCGTTACCAATTTTGAAAGGAAGTCTAAAATGTTGATATATTGTCTGTCATAGCTCCTTATGTAACTTTCCTTATCTTTGTGGTCATATTGCTAACCATTTCTTCTATTTTAAGAATCAACCTGCTTGATCTAACTACATGATGAGTAGGTGGATAGCAGCAACCTATAGCCTACGATACATGTTGTCATAGTAGTTCATGTTTACTAGCGTTTCATTGTATGAAATACAAACTAGCTGACCATAAGTTGATATTAAATCCTTCTTCCTGTGAGTTTAACTCAGCACTGATCTTTGCCAAGGTCATGGCAGAGGGAAATGACATTAACACCAGCTTCCAGATTGTATTTAATGAAGGCCAGGACTGTCATATCTGGCAATAAACCCACATGTATTCCATTTAGAAACACAAAGATAGAGAGAAATAAAATAATTAGAAGAAGGACAATAAACCAATTTGCAGCATAGCCATACAATTGCAAATTTCTACACATACAAGTCAAGGATAGCTTCAAAGATGTATTGTATGCAAAAAAAGAAGCAAATTTCCATAAACTGCAATAGACAAGACTGCCTAAGAGAGGTTTAATTACTCTATGAATTTACATGTTGGTATTATTATTCTATATAATTTGCATGGACATGTAAACATTACATGGACATAATTTTGCTGCTTTGGGTTATTGCTGTATCAAACATGTATCAAATGTGCATCCAACCTGATCCACATTGCGTACACTGTATATCAGGTTCTCATAGTTTGGTTTATGGTTGACACTGGAGCCTCGGTTGACAAAAATAATATTAATACTGTACATATTCTCTGGTCCCTCGTCAACATTAAGTGTTGCTGGAGCTTTAAATCCAACTGCATTGTAAGGATCTGCTCCCACCAGATTGAGATTTGAGACTGACTGACTTAAAAATGTATCATGTCTGCAGATGCCCCAAACGTGGATGGATGGGCCATCGATATACAGTTGTGACCAAAATTATTAGCCCCCCAGGATTTATGGAACATTTTCCTAAAATTCTTCCCAATGTTTGCAGCATTGATAAAACTCGATGTAATCAAACATTCACCAGTGCTTTTTAGTAGCTTTTGGTACATTTTGGAATATAAAATAACATTTTAGGCTTGCTTTATATCAAATATAGAGAAAAATGGGGATGTCAAACATATTAGCCCCCATGATGGGGTGGTCAATAATATTTGTGAATTCTTGCCTTCAAAAACACACCTAATTAACAAATCAGTTTTCAAACCACACCTGTGCAGTCAATTGGCTTCCTAACGACACCTGAACATTCAATCAGCATAAAAGGACTCCAAGGAACAGGGCACTTGAACACATTATTGAGAGGGACTACTTTTACTCACCATGCCAAAGACAAAGGAAATCAGTCTTGAGCTCAGAAAGAAGATAGTGGAGGCTCATGATAAGGGGGAAGGCTATACTGCCATTTCCAAGCGTTTCACAGTGTCTAGAACCGCTGTACGTTGCATCATTGCCAAGTACAAGGAGACAAATTCTGTAAGAAACAAACCTGGGCATGGTCATAAGCTCAAGATTTCAAGAACTCTAGAGAGGAAAATTGTCAAAGATGTCAGCAAGAATCCCCGGACATCTGCCAAGATGATTGTTGCTGACCTGGCCTCTTCTGGAGTTGATGTTTCAAGGAGCACAGTTGTGAGGGCTCTCCATCGTGGTGGGCTTCAGGGCCATCGTCCAAGAAAAACCCCTTTACTCAAAAAGCGGCACATCAAAGCCAGACTGAGGTTTGCCCGTGAACATTTGATAGGTAAAGATGAGTTTTGGAAGTCTGTGCTTTGGTCTGATGAGACTAAACTGGAATTGGATCTTGCTTATGTTTGGTGAAGAAAGGGAGAGGCCTTGGACCCCAAGAACACAGTTCCCACAGTTAAACATGGTGGTGGGAGCATCATGCTGTGGGGCTGTTTTGCAGCCTCAGGAGCCTTGTTTGGGTGCATGGCATTTTGAGGGATAATATGCAGAAATCTGCTCGTAGTCTATCCTTAGATCGTCGCTGGGTCTTCCAACAAGACAATGACCCAAAGCACACATCGAAATTGGTCCAACAGTTCCTGAAGGATACCAAAACCAAGGTCCTGGAGTGGCCCGCACAGAGCCCAGACCTCAATCCTATTGAGAATCTGTGGCGGGTGCTCAAAGTGAATGTCCATGCTCGGAAACCACGCAATTTGGACCAGCTGGAACAATTTGCAATGAAAGAATGGGCCAAAATCCCTCAGGAGACCTGTGTCAACCTAGTAAAGAACTACTCTAAGAGGTTGTTGTCAGTTGTGACTCAGAAAGGGTACACTATTGACTATTAATGGCCAGGGGGCTAATAATTTTGGATTTCTAATTTTTGCCCTTTTTTGTTTTAACTCATTGTATCAATAAAATATCCTTATCAAACTTGTCAACTTTTGTCTTTGTAGAGTATTTGTTTCCAAAATAACAAACATGTGTTGTTAATGGCCATTTCCATGGAGAAATCAAGAGTTTTGTCTAATTTCATAAGGGGGGCTAATCATTTTGGTCACAACTGTATCCAACAGTTCTTGTTATGACCTGGAAATGAGCCTTGGACCCAAGTGTGAACCTATCATGACATCACCTATTGGTTAGTGGAGTACCGTTTTGAAATCTGGAGTTTGCCATTATGGCAGTCACCATGTCAGTGGTGTTGACATAGTTCAAATTGAGCTGCACTCATTGGCAAACAATGGCAGCTTCCCTGGTCACACATGTTTGTATTACAGGTAAACAGTAAACTAAAATATGATTCTGAAAAATAATCAATGCAGTAATAGAATCATGATTCATATTTGATCAGCACTGCCTAGTTTGACAGCTTGATGTGAGTTTGTGTGTAGCGCTGGACAAGCTCACTGACAATGACATCCATCGCAAGGTAGCCACGACCTAGAGCATACCCTGCTTTATTGTCTAAATTACTCTAAATGGGACATTTACAAAACAAAAATCATACTGTATGGAAGAAGACTTGAAACTAGAGATTGACACCATAAATCCATTAGGAAACTCTTTACTAAGCTAACAAATTAAGTGGGAAGTAGTGGAGATAAATCTAAGAAGACTCAGTACACTAGATGTCTGTTTAGCAGCCCATGGAGCTGCCCCCTCCTGCCCATTAGAAAAAATTAAGACACTTCCGTGTTGCACTTCACAGCTCTGTCCAATAATCATAAAACTAAAACTGTTCACCCAAACGGTTCACCTGCTCCACCTCAGCTCCACTGATGTAAACAAGTGTGTCCGCTTTGCCACTTTTTTCCTAAAATCAGCAATCAGCTCTTTGGTTTTGCTATTGTTGAGCAGTAGGTTGTTTTTTGTTTACAATATTGTTGATTTCCTCCC